CAATTATCTCCAAATGTGCTTTGTAGCTTTTTTTCCTATCTAGAATTCGATCAAGTCTCACTCATTGCATATAATAGAAATGTTTCTTTAGTCTCTTTATTTTTCCTTGCTGTTGTGTTTTTTTTTAATCTTTCATGACATTGACATTTTGGAAGAATACAGGTAATTTCCTTATAGAATATACCACATTCTGGATTTATCTAATTGTTTTATCATTATTAGATACAAGTGAAACATTTTTTGCAAGAATATCATAGATGTTATATTTCCCATTGCATCACATCGGAAGGCCCATAATGCCAGTTTGTTTCATTACTACTGATGCTAATGGTCATTTGGCTGAGATGACATCTGCTAGATTTCTCCAGTGCAAAGGTATCCTTCTCCTTTGTGATTGAAAGCTGGTGCACTAAAACCTGTGAAAAGAATTGAAGAGGAAAGAAAAATAAAATTAAAAAAATAGTCTGTGGGGTGATTCCTTGAGGCAGTGTGAATAGCCTGTTACCCAACCACCTTTTACTCAATGGTTTTAGCATCCATTGATGATCCTTGCCTGAATCAATTACATTTGGATTTTAAAATGGTGATCTTCTCTTCTCTTCTCTGCCCACCATGCCAGCTAATTTTTTCTATATATTTTCAGTTGGCCAATTAATTTCTTTCTATTTTAGTAGAGACCAGGGGCTTGCTTTGTAGGCTGGTTTAGAACTCTTGACCTTGAGCAATCCCTCCACCTCAGCCTCTCAGAGTGCTTCTTTTCAATTTTTAAAGAGACCTAGTCTGGCTCTGTCACCCAGGCTGGAGTGCAGTGCACCACATTGTAACTCATTGCAGCCTCAAACTGCTGGGCTCAAATGATCCTCCTGCTAAGCCTCGCTGTTGCTGACTAAAGGCATGTGTCAACCTGATGATTAGAGATGTTGAGCATTTTTTCATATGTTTGTTGGCCATTCTTCTGTCTTCTTTAGAAAAGTTTCTGTTTAAGTCCTTTGTCCACTTTTTAATAGGGTTATTTGATTTTTTTCTTGCTGATTTTCTTGAGTTCTAAGTATATTCTAGTTATCAGCCCCTTATCAGATGGGTAGGATGCAAAAATTTTCTCCCATTCTGTAGGCTGTCTGTTTATTTAGAAACAGTTTTTAAGCAAGTAAGTATAGTCACTGGGGACATGTATTTCATGTTCTGCTTTTCTGTTACTCAATTTGTTCATTTCTGCTTTTTTTTTTTAATATTTCCCTTTTTCTTACTTGCCTTTAAGAAATTACCCATTTTCTTTTCCAGATTTTTTTTAGGTTTATTACATTTCTCTTTTTTATCATTACTATAATATTTATAGCTGTGACTTCAATTCAAGAGCTTATACTTTGTTTCAGTATCCCCTTCATTTAGAGGTGGTGTAGATTTACCTTACTTTCTTAGGAGTTTGTGCATTTAAAATTATGTTTGCTATGATTTAACTAGCTTTTCTGGGTGTTGGTAGCAAAAGGATTTTAAGATTATGATGTATGATAGTTAGCTTTCACCACATTATGTTGTGGAACAAAAAAATCCCCAAAATCACAGTGGCTTGACGACAACAGAGGTTTATTACTCATCCACTGTACATGGTGGTTACAAGCTCTGCTCCAGGGTCTTCATTCCAGCATGTAGGCTGAAGGAGCAGCCTCTGCGTTGGACATACAGGCCTCAAGTCTGACCTGCCAGATGTCTCCTAAAGCTTCTGCTCAGATGTGGGGCATCAATCACTTCTGCACACATTCCATAGGCCAAAGTAAGTCATAGGGCTAACCTTGATGGGAATGGGTTGGTGAACATAATCCTTCCTAGGGAGCAGTAAATAATAGGGAATAGTAATATAATCTATCCCATGTTATCCCCCATAATGCTGCAGCCAGAAAGGTTTATCCTTGCCTCTCTGTCAAATCAAAACTCTATTTTATTGCTGGATTATGTTTGAGACTTACCATTATAGCACTTATATTTTCATTTTTTTTTTTTTATTATTTTTTTTTCTCTTTTGTCTTTAGCCACATGCACCAGAGTGGATATATTTTCATTTTTAAATGTATCTTTAATCATGGTATAATGCCGTTTGTTTCCCTTAATGCTTTTTGCTATAAAATCAGCTGCACCGATCATGTTTTTATGGGCCACACCAGGCTGTGGCTACTATGGGTTATAATAACATTAACAGAATAGTATATACTTTCTGAACCTGTTTCAAAATAAATTAATTAATCAAAACAACAGTATTTTTGTAGTTTAACCTATACCCACAGCAAAGCCACGTCTCTCCCTCAAAATTCACCAAGTGCTTCATGTACTTCTGTGAGGAGTGTCCTGCTGCCCAGGAGAATTCTTCTGGGTACACATGTCCAGCCTGGGTCCTTAGTCTGCTAAGACAATAGCAATGTTCGCTGTTACCTCTTGACCTCTACTGAGCAATGCTGCTTTGTACAACTTACACCTTCAGAGATTCCAGAGATTTCACTCTTTTCTAAAGTAATAGCTATTTCTCCCCTGAGCTTTGGTCCAAGTCCTAGTTGCTGGGACACCATTGGATAGATAATGTGATTGATATATTGTATTATGCTCACAATTACCTCTGACAACGAAATCTTGTATTTGAAAAGCTTTTATTTCCCTGTCACCCCACTCACCTTTCTCCTCTCTCCCTCTGCCTCCCTCCCCTCCCTCTCCACCTTCCCCTTCGTCACCTCTCCCATCCCATCCCTCCCATCTCTCTCCCTTTTTCCCTCTCTCCTCTCTTTACCTGAGGCTCCTCTGCTGATAGATCCTCTAATAACCAATCCCATCCTGGAACCTCTGTGAAAACTGATATAATTTAATCACCAGGCATTATGAATTGTAAGTCATTCCCCTTTCCTTACTAGAACTTCCTTATTTTAAAACATTTTGTCACAATAATTACACACATGGAAAAAAACAACAAGTAGAGCTTGTAATGACAAAACATAGTCAACTGCCCCACCTTCTACCACCCCTAATTGAACTTCCCAGAGGAAACCACTTTTAAATGTTTCTGTGTCAAGGGTTTTTTAATTTTTTCCTTTTTTCTTTTGAGACAGAGTCTCACTCTGTTGCTCAGGCTAGAGTGCTATGGCGTTAGCCTAGCTCACAGCAACCTCAAACTCCTGGGCTCAAGCAATCCTTCTGCCTCAGCCTCCCGAGTAGCTAGGACTACAGGCATGCGCCACCATGCCCAGCTAATTTTTTTCTATATATTTTTAGTTGGCCAATTAATTTCTTTCTATTTTTAGTAGAGACAGGGGCTTGCTCTTGCTCAGGCTGGTTTAGAACTCTTGACCTTGAGCAATCCTCCCACCTCAGCCTCTCAGAGTGCTTCTTTTCAATTTTTAAAGAGACCTAGTCTGGCTCTGTCACCCAGGCTGGAGTGCAGTGGCACCCCATTGTAACTCATTGCAGCCTCAAACTGCTGGGCTCAAATGATCCTCCTGCCTAAGCCTCGCTGTTGCTGGGACTAAAGGCATGTGTCACCACCCCAGTTTCTACCAAGACTTTTTAATGGTTACTTCTCTTAATTCTAAACAATTGGCTTTACTACTATTTCTTGATTTACTAATAAATCACTGTATTAGATAAGTTTCCTTCTTCTTCCCATCTTCTGCTTGTTCCTCCTGCTTTCTGTGCTTATACTGTTACTTCACATTTACAAAGTTGGCATTTCTATTTTCACTAGTGACATATTTGAGTTTTCTCTGTTTTGTTCTTAGACTGCTAAAAATTGAAAACCATGAACAATCATTTGCATATTGTAACTATGTAAATATGGCCAACAAAAAATTAGGTAGCGGGATTTCATTTTCTCTCCACAAGGACTCCAAGTTCCTGTAAAAGATGGTTCAGATTTAAAGATTACAGAGTTTTATGTGGCCGCTTTGATTTTTTATTTCCATCTCTTTTCACTTACGCTGAAAATCTTGGTTCCAGTGCTATTAACATAATGATCAGTGCTCATAGGTCTATGTTACTTTTTTCCTCCTAAAGTTTTGTTTTAAAACATGTGAACCTACACAAAAGATTAAAGAATAGCATAAGAAACACCTGTATCTTTTATCTCAATTCACCAATAGATAAAATTTTGTTACTTCATTTGTTTTATTTCTCCTTCTTTGTTTTTGCTGAGTCATTTGGAAACACATTGCAGACAGCATGATAATTTATCACTTGCATGTTTCTCCTAGAACAAGGACATCTTACAACTACAGTCCCCAACTCCCGGACCAATATTGGTCCTTGGCCTTTTAGGAGCTGGGCCACATAGCTAGAGGTGAGCAGTGAGTGAGCAAAGTTTCATCTGTATTGACATCCCCTCCCCATCACTGCCTGAGCTCCGCCTCCTGTCAGATCAGTGGCAGCATTAGATTCTGCATTATGGTGAGTTGTATAATTATTTCATTATATATTATGATGTAATAATAATAGAAATAAAATAAATAATAAATGTAATGAGCTTGAATCATCCTGAAACCATTTCCCCGGCCCCTTGTCTATGGAAAAATTATCTTTCACGAAACCGGTCCCTGGTGCCAAAAAGGTTGGGGAGTGCTGTCTTACAAAGCCAAAGTCCCATTAGCAGACTCGAGAAATTTAATACCTGTTTTATAATGTTTATCATATAACTTGTATCCAAATTCCCCAATTATCTCCAAATGTGCTTTGTAGCTTTTTTTCCTATCTAGAATTCGATCAAGTCTCACTCATTGCATATAATAGAAATGGTTCTTTATTTTTCCTTGCTGTTGTGTTTTTTTTTAATCTTTCATGACATTGACATTTTGGAAGAATACAGGTAATTGCCTTATAGAATATCCCACATTCTGGATTTATCTAATTGTTTTATCATTATTAGATACAAGTGAAACATTTTTTGCAAGAATATCATAGATGTTATATTTCCCATTGCATCACATGGAAGGCCCATAATGCCAGTTTGTTTCATTACTACTGATGCTAATGGTCATTTGGCTGAGATGACATCTGCTAGATTTCTCCAGTGCAAAGGTCACCCTTTCTCCTTTGTGATTGAAAGCTGGTGCACTAAAACCTGTGAAAAGAATTGGACAGGAAAGAATAATAAATTAAAAAAATAGTCTGTGGGGTGATTCCTTGAGGCAGTGTGAATAGCCTGTTACCCAACCACCTTTTACTCAATGGTTTTAGCATCCATTGATGATCCTTGCCTGAATCAATTACATTTGGATTTTAAAATGGTGATCTTCTCTTCTCTTCTCTTCTCTTCTCTTCTCTTCTCTTCTCTTCTTCTTCTCTTCCTCTTCTCTCTCTTCTCTCTGCTTCTTTCTTTCTTTCTTTCTTTCTTTCTTTTTCTTTCTTTCTTTCTTTCTTTTCTTTCTTTTCTTTCTTCTTTCTCTCTTTTTGAGATTGGATCTACCTCTGTCACCCAGGCTGGAGTGCCGTGGTGTGATAATAGCTCACAGCAGCCTCGAACTTCTGGGGTCAAGCAATCCTCCCACCTTAGCTTACCAAGTAGCTGGGACTACAAGCATGTGCCACCTTGCCCAGTTGATTTTATTTTTAATAGAATTAGTGGTACAAGTTGAATCCCATTACATCTATATATTATATAATGGTGAACTCTAGGCTTTTGGTGTACCCATCATCTGAATAATGTACATTGTACCCCATATTTAATTTTTAATCCCTTACCCTGTCCCATCCTCCCTCTTTGACTCTCCAGTGTTCATTACACCACTCTGTGTGTCCTTGCATAAGCAGCTTATTTATTTATTTATTTTTGTAGAAACAGAGATCTTGCTATGTTACCTAGGCTAGTCTCACTCCTGGCCTCAAGTGATCCTCCCACCTCAGCTTCCCCTAGTGCTGGGATTATAAGCATGAGCCACTGCACCCAGCCTAAAGTGGTTTTCTAAATCATTCTTTTGTAACACTTGTGTAGTAAACCAGTGTAGAGTTGTATCAATATTTATTAAGTCCCTTCTTGATGGATATTTAGGTTGTTTCCAGTCTTTTGCCATAATAAACAATGCTGCAAAGAACACACTGGTATCTTTTACACAAATATGCAAATATAACTGTTAGATGAATTCCAGGAAAAAGAATTGATAGACCAAAGGCATTTAATATTTAGATAGATATTTCCATGTTGCCCCCTCCCGTAAAAGAGGTGATACTAATTTACATTACCACTATCAGTACGTTAACACTGCATATTTCCCCAATTACCTTAACTTTAGGCTATACATTTTTGCCTTAAATTACCACCACCTTCTATTTTTCCAGCTCACTCTCACTATTTCTTAACTCCCACAATTCTTCCTTCTACTCCCTCTGAAAACTACAGGCCATTATCATGTTTTCACTGCCCGTAATTCCCCCCTTGTGTTCTCTCTTTTCTACTTCTCCAGCTTATATTTATTTCATGGTCCATCATTCATAATAATTACTCTTTTGCATACACTCTCAAATCCTTTACCTCTCTCTCCCTTCGCTGTACTTTAGGGCCAAACTCCAGATCCAGTTAAATCCGACTCTCTTCCTGTGTTACACCCAGCAGCTACATGTGACTGGAAAAAAACAAACAACCATGCAGAAGATACTCACTGCAAATTCATGGCCCCAGCCTCAAATGAGTCTTCAATAGAGGCCCAGTACATTCCCTAGCCCATTTCATCTTGACTCTCCTAGAGGGCTATTTCATTGCTTTTCCTCTCTTCAACTCTCCAACATCTCCTGATCTCTATGCTGATGACTTTGCTTCCCACTTCACTGAGAAGAGAACTTCCACCACTCCCACCACATTTACTGACCTACCAGCATCAGGGCCCACACTTTCTGCCTTCTCTCCTGTTACTATAGATACACTGTCTATCCTCCTGTCTAGAGACACCATCTGCAGTTGTGCACTGGATTCCATCCCCTCCTACACTCTCAAGGCCCTCTCTCTAGCAATTGTTCTCTCTGTCTCCTGCATCATCAATGTTTTCTCCCTACTAAATCATTCCTATTAATATCAAACATGCTGTAATATTTCCCATTTGGAAAAAAAAAATAATCCATCGGTTCCACATCCCTTCTAGCCAATGCCCTGCTTGTTAGTTTTCCTATGTGGAAAATCTCTACAGAGTTTTTTATATTTGCTGTTTCCACTTCATCTTCCCATTCTCTCCTGAAGCCATTCCAATCAGACATTTGCCTCCACCATTCCACAAAAGCAGCTTTAGTCCAGGTACCCAAGGACACAATTTACATTTGACACAATTTCTCCTTAAAACACTTTATTCCAGTTTCTGCTCAAATGTCACTTTATCATGAAGGACTTCCCTGAATTCTGGGTTAAATAGTTAATCAAATAGTCCCTTTTACTTTGTACTGTCTATACCCCCCTACTCTGCAATATTGATTACTACTTGACATATTTTATATTTAATTGTTTATTGACTTTGTCCCCTGCTTCAATCTTAATTTGAACAGGACAACTGTAAAATGGCATCTTTAAAATAATTGGGGATATTTGAATATAGACCAGGTATTAGATGATATTAAAGAATTACATTAATTTTATTAGCTGTGGTGTTTATATGGAAAAAAAATAAAGTCCTTACCGCTTATAGAACTATAATGAAGCATCTATAAGTGAATTGGCATAATGTCTGAAATTTTCTTTAGATTACTCAAGAACAAGTCCGAGACTTTTGGCTTGAGCAATTGGGAGAGTAGAGTTGTTATTTGTGGAGATTTTTAAAGACTGTGGGAAGAGGCATTTTTGCAGGGGATGGGAGTGAGGGAAAATAATAGGCTTGGTTTTAACATTAAGTTTGAGATGTGTATAGATACCCAAGTAGAGACGTTGAATAAGCATTTGGATATGCCAGCCTGGAGTTCAAGGAAGAGATAAACATCAGTGAGTCATCAAGGTATATGTGATACTTAAAGCTGTGAGACCAGATGAGAACATTTAGAAAATGAAAGAAAATTTTGTGAAAAATAAAAAAGAAGAGGTCTGAGGACTAAGCCTACTGAAGCACTCCACAATTCAGGGGCCAGAGATGGGGAGAAGTCATCAGAGAACATGAAGAAGGAGTGGCCACTGGGGTGGGAGGAAGACAAGTTTGGCAGCCTGAGAGCCAAAGAAAGAAAGTGCCCCCTCAAAAGCATTCCGAAAATGGTGGTGTGATTAAAGGGTTTAACAAGTGAATATAACACAGCACTTTATTTTCCTATGTCAAAATATAGAACAACTGATATCAGATAACATAATGTATAATATCAGATGCCAGAACTTTTATGGTAATGATATTTTAGAATTTTATAAATATAATATCCATAATATTATGCAAATTATGGTTTGAATAATAGCTAAGTGTCCCTAATCTCAGGATTGAATTGCTTTTTATTATTGTAATGGATACTGTTGTTCTCCATCGAGAGGTCCTTTTCAGGGCCAACACTCTCATCTCATAACTGCTAGGAATTTCAGCTGCTGTTGTCTCACAGCTGCATCTCTCCCTGGCAACACCCCAGGCCTGCAAGGAACTGCTTCTCCTAAAGTTATACGAGGCAGCCCATATCAAATGAGGGCAGGAGGGATTCCTGGCTGAGGGCAGGAATACATAGCCCAGCTCCCTGGCCTCAATTTGGGATAACTCTGAAGGGCCCTCCCCACTCCAAAACTCCCCATAGGATGACCAAGGCCACCGCTGGAACCTAACTGGGGTCAGCTTCTTCAGGGTCTTAGTCTGAAGGTCCTCACTTCTTCACAGAGGTCACTCTCCAATAAACTGCACGCAACTCTCCACCTCAAAATTTGTATCTAAGGAACTCAGCCTAAAACAATAGTCTACAGGGGAACACCATCCTCCGATGTAACTGTAGAATTACAAAATAATTCTAGAATGTGTTATTTGTTGAAAAAGCCAGGTCATTTGTTCTATAGAATTTTCCATATCATGGATTTGAGTGATTGTATCCCTGTATGCATTCTTTTTTTTTTTTAATTTTTTTTTATTTCAAAATATTAAGAAGGTACAAATGTTTTCTTTACATGGCAAGCTTTATAATGCTTTAATCAAGGCTATAAGTGTGCCCATCACCTGAATATTATTCATTGTACCTATTAGGTAGGCTTTTACCTCTCTCCTCCCCACCCCCTCCCTCCACCCCTTTTTGATTTCCTGTGTACATTCTTTATCTGATACTTTCTGTAAACTGGTAGTAACTCTAGAGGCTTGATTAGATTTATGTCCACCCATTTAAGCCTGATACTCTGAAATCCTCTTTTAATTCTCTTTTTCAACCTAGTGAAATTTAAATGTTGATTATCTGATACTAAGAAGAGAAAAAAATGGAAGCTCCCTGGATCAGGGAAGATCACTTATGGTGGCATGTGCTCCCCCACAACACCAACCCCCCAAGTAGTATCTGCAACTGAAAGGCCTTCCAGATACACACCCAGGACTGGGAACAAATGACTGGAGAATGTGTTTACCTACAATTTACAGCCTTGAACACTAAGTAGCTTCCTCCCAAAGCAGAGTATGATTATCTTATTCTCATCTAGGAACGGAACTAAAGACAGCAACACCGTCTCTGGATTATTTGCATGTAGAATTCAATGTTGTTACTAATTTTAAAAGCCATCCTGGCTTTCTTCTGTCAAATGGTTTGATTGTGGATCACATTCTTTCACCGACAGCTGGTGTATTCTAAATCAATTAATCAACATGCATTTATCAAGCACCTGCTGTGTGATCAACGTCATTTTTGGAGAATTCGTGCTGATTAAATTCTCTGTAAAACAATTAGGAAGCTGTATCTTGTTTTTGCTCTGCCCCTCCCCCATCCCCAATTCATACAAACGCATTCCAAAGCCAAATACATGCTCTTTTTGTATCAATTTACTGTTTTGAATGATTATTGCTCCATTCTGTTGAGAGTTGATAACACCCTGGAAAATTAGGAGTTTTCTAACGTAGTCAAAGCAGTTTTGCATAAATGTATACATGTCTGCATAATTGTTTTTTTAATGTATCTCCTCTTAAGGAAATTTATTTGATGAAATTTTTATCTGTTTATTTAAATTAATGTTATATGGGACAGAAACCAATTTGAGCTGGCATAAGAAAAAAGAATTTATTGGAAATATATTAGGCTCTCTCACAGAATTCAAAGAACTGAACAACCAACCATGAAGAACAGAAGCTAGGGAAGCTTTGGGGACCCTGGCAACAGCTGCTCACAAACCTTCCCTTGGAATTCTGCCACTAACATGACTCAGCGGCAAACTTCTCCAGTCTCTGTGTATCTCAGTTCAAAATTCAAAATCCTAGGGGGAAGAATCTGATTGGCTCAGCGGTGGTGGATAGCTGCCGCTGCTCCAATTAGGTATGTCCTGGAGGCAGAGTCCCATACTCTATATCCCACCCACTGCCCAACACAGAAGCCACCAGGCACATATGGCAGCGGAGCACCTGAAATATGGCTAGGACTACTGAAGAACTGAATTTTTAATTTTATTTCATTTTTATTGATTTAAATTTAAAAACTGAGGCAATGTAAAATATGTTTACATTACACACAACTCTATTATTTTGGTAGAACTACATTTCACTTTGATTGTTACAATTTACCAGATGAATTGAGATATGCTGCCAGTGTGAAATACTCATCAGATTTGAAGACAACATAAAAAAAAAGAATGTAAAATATCTCATTAGCAATTATATTTCCAGTGATTACATGTTGAAATGATAATACTTTGGATACATTGGGTTAAATAAATAAAAAATATATAATATTTTTTAATTTATAAAAAAAGCATTTTTACAAATCCCTATTCTCCTCATATTTAGAGCAGGCAACAGCCCGCTCCTGTCCTTTGATGACTGTCCCACGTCTTAAGTACTCCACATAGTCTTCAGTCTGGGCTAAAAGCAACTCAGGTGGAGGGGCATCCAAATGTTCTTGGCCTCCATACTTTTCCAGGATGCTTTTTCTGCTGTTCTTTGAAGTCTTCTCTTTTGACTTTGAAGGACTTATACAACAGTTCTAGTTTTGTAGAATCTGCCTGCAGATGCATTTCAGATCCCTGTCATAGGTTTCCCAAGCAAACAGCTGTGTCTGAGCCATTGAAATGGTGTCTCCTGTGTATCTAATGAAGTTATCTCCTGCAAAATTCACTTCATCTGGATTCTTTCCAGCATTGGCATAAGGATTCTCTCTCATCACTCTAGTTTTTGGATCATAGTAGGTAGAATTTGGATTTAAATTTCTTAAATATTTTGCAATATCTTCTCAGATCCTGAGATTCCGGACAATAATTGGTCTCTTAGAGTCAAAATTCTGTCCAGACATGTCAATATCATCTGCATATTTCTCTTCATCCTCATCTTCACTATTATGATCTTTTTCCATCTGAGAATTTGGTTCCTCTTCTCCCCACTAGGGAATTTTGGAGAATTAGCCTGTTCTACTACTTTTCCTGATGCTAATCCTTCTTGGAATTTCTGAGCTTTCAATGTTCATTTTGCCAGATCAACTTTGGCATATTCTTCTGTAATTTTCATGTGTTCTTCTGGATTGTAGCCATGCCACCTATGCCTCTTCCCATCACAGTCAAACATCAGTTGATGTTGGACATGTTCATCTGGAGCTATATTAGGACCTCTAAATTGGGTTCTAACTCACCTGGGTCTCTCAAAGCAATCTTTCTTATTGTGTGTCATGGTCCCACAATTTTCATATTCTCCTTTGCAGTACTTCGTAATTATGGAATTCTCATCTACACCCCTCTTGTAACATTCTCTGGATTAGCTATACTGCTTTTGTTTCTGTGGGCGTGGTCTCTGGTGCTTTAAAGTAGGTGCGTTTGATGGATCTATATATCACGGTATTGAAGAAACATACTGAGGAATATGAGGGATGATATCTTTTTCTTCTTCATCAACTTCTGCAGAAGCATTGCCCAATTTTCGCTGTTCTTCTAGCTCCTTCCTACTCCAGTCCTCTCTGGTCACTTTCTTTAGTTCCTCCAAACTCATTTCTTTGGACCCCGACAGGGGTGCAGCATTAAATGCATCTATAACTGCAGCTGGTTACCTGGTCTCCCCAAGTCCCGCAGTAGCTGACCCCAAAACCACCCTACAGAAATGGAGCCAATCTTGCAATGTCTACTTCCCGGCTTCCTCCCCTCTCCCGGAGGCAGCCTCTGCAGTAGCTTCCGGATGACCAACACATGCGCACTAACAACCTCCTTGGGCTCTGGTTGGTCTGTGCTGTGAGTCTCGCGACATCATGACGTGTGCCTAGCCCTCTATTTACTCCGTGGTTGAAGTTACAAAGGTTGAGCGCATTTATTTTTGGCTTCTGCTCGTGAACTCATGTTTGTCGGGGAGGAGGAAATACCCTACCAATCTGCCAGTCAAAAATACCTTTAAGACAAAGTAAATTATTGTAAACAGTAACTCACTCAACTAACACACAAAGAAACAGACACCCATAGAACTTGAAGGCATCCATGAAGGAGACATTAATGCGGAGATACATAAATTCCTAAAGCTTGCTAAACAAGTACATAAATAATCTATATACAAGGTACAGATGCATAATAACTGCCAATTACACATAACAACTGGCACTTTGAAACAGTTACTACATGTCGTTTACCTATGACTGTCTGTATGGATTTGCTAGGGCTGCCATCACAAAATACCAAGACTGGATTGCTTAAACAACAGGAATTTATTTTCTCACGGCTCTGGAGACTAGAAGTCCAAGATGAAGGTGTCAGTAGGTTTGGTTTCTTCTGAGGCTTTTGGCTTGCAGTTGGCCACCTCACTGTCCTCACATGGTCTTTCCTCTATATGCACACATCCCTGCTGGTTTCCTGTGTATCCAGATTTCCTCTTCTTATAAAGACACCAGTCATATTGGATTGATTGGTGCCTACCCTAAAGGCCTCATTTTAACTGAATCACCTCTTTCAAGGCCCTTTCTCTCTCCAAATACAGTCATATTCGGAGGTACTGAGGGTTAGGGTTTTCAATACAGATGAGGGACACAATTCAGCCTATAACACTGTCACTTACTTTTTATGAAGATTAAAAGTTGAATAAGATGGTGTTCCTAAAAGAGGTGATAAGTGCTATTATAGAAATACGCAAAATTAATTGGTTGAGTTATCTTGGGAGCAAAGGGGAGAGAGTACAGATTCCACCCTTAAACTGAAGCTAGGAAGAATCAGAAAGCCTCTCAGAGGAAGTGACATTTGAAATGGCTTCAGGAGACAATTAGACATTGTTTACTTTGTGCCAGCGCCCATGGTAGCTGTACCTAAAATATAAAGTCACCAGTTAACTATTCAAGACACCATGGATAAGCAAGTGATTAGAAAGCAATAAGGTCCTATGTATAATAAATATTCTGGGTTTGTTTTTTTTTTGTTAATTAGCTAAATTACTATATCCCGTATTCCTCCAGAAAACAAAGTGCTAAATGAAAACCTAAATACATAGTATCTTTATTTGCCTTCTTTATATTCGAATAGTTGGAAAATATTTTGTTGTTCTCTGTTGCATTCCTCCTCTATCTTTTTTGTTTTGTTTTATTTTTGAGACAGAGTCTAACTCTGTCACTGGGGCTAGAGTGCAGTGGCATCATCATAGCTCACTGCAACCTCAAATTCCTGGGCTCAAATGAATTCTTCTGCCTCAGCCTCCCTAGTAGCTGGGACTACAGGTTCACATCACCACACCTGGCTAATTTTTCTATTTTTTTGTAGTGATGGGGTCTGGCTCCTGTTCAAATTGGTCTCAAACTCCTGGCCTCAAGCAGTCCTCTGCCTCAGCT